ATTTTGTTAAACGTCCTATTAACAGCTAAGGTCATTTAAGGACGGCCTCCCCTGTGTGCAAGATGCATGCGTGTAGTGTATGTGTGTGTATTTAGGGAGGCTGCGATATGTTCGTGTTTGTCTCCTTGTGATAGCGCGGAACTGATGCCGACTTTATAATGCTACCTCACTGAAACTGGGTGGGGCGTCCTGCTGGGTGTCTTCTGCAGTATGTTTCTCCCTTGGGGAGGGGGTAAAGTTTACTATAGTTTATATAGGGAAACAACACTTTTGGGTATATTTTGACAATTTTCTGTTGGAAATTATTTTTACTCGGAAAGATATAACCTTGGAGGAGGAAGATGCTTTTAAATTGTAAAATTGGGATTCCTACCCCAACCCTAGGGGCCAGGGCGGGGCCCAAAAGGGAAAATTATCCAATATTTCAAAATTCTTCTTCTCCAGACTCAGAGGTATTTCAGTCATTTTCTCTGCATGGATGGAAAGATCATCAGGGGCATTATTTAAATTGTAAATTTCAGGACCCCCGAGCTATCCGTTCTCCCTTGGGGAGGGGGTAAAATTTACTATAGTTTATATAGGGAAACAACACTTTTGGGTATATTTTGACAATTTTCTGTTGGAAATTATTTTTACTTGGTCAGAATCATCTTTGGTGGATGACAATATCACATTGTAAACTTTGAATTCCTGCCCAATCCCCAGGGGTTAGAGCGGGGCCCCAAAGGGAACATTTACAAATATTTTAAAATTCTTATCTTTTGATGACATGACAAGTATTGTATTTCACTTAGTTTACATGCTGATTTCCACATCACATCTAAACAATAAAATAAAGCTACCAGTACCTATGATATAACTCAGGTGACCGCTAAGGCCCTTGTGCCTCTTGTTTTAAATAACATATTTCCTAAAATTCGTTAAATAAACGTATGTGTAACTTCTACAACATATTCACAATATCATCGTTTTCATTGCCTTTTTTAACTCATATTCTATACTTAAATGCCGATAATATATATAAATATTGTGCATTACTATATTGATAACGTCAATACCTGCTCCTTTGATGTAGAACGTGTCATCTTGGCATGCTCGCATCGATGTTGAATGAAGTGATGTAAAACAGATATCTTTATATTATGTCGTCTAGGATTTTTCTAGGCGAATCTAGTTTTATGAAATACGTTCATGCTGATTTGTAAGAATTGTTCAGCGGATCAACAAACATTGCTCGTCTTACAAGCGTAATTACGGTGACGTCAAAGGAAGCAAGATGCCACCTTTTCCTCCACGGTCTGTGGAGCTATGTATATGCATAAACAACATTTTAACTTTACTCGGGCATATATATAATTCTGTTTGAACAAGACAGTGCAATAGGTTTTGCATAGAAGATGAAGTATATTCGTTTTCTTCCCTAATGGTGGTTGACCAAACAAAAAACAAAGAGGACATGTTTTTCATTGATAATGATATATGATTACCAACACGGATGAACTAAAACTGACCACATCCGGATAACGTGTTTGTAAACTCGATTACTCCTTGGTTCTAATTTTTCATTTAGGCCGTCATTGGTCAAATGTACAATATTCAAATAAAGAACTTTCGACATTTGATGTTTGATTATTAAATCTGATTTCTTGAATACAAATGGGTGTTCATAAAAAACTATCGAAAATAACATATATACGGATTTTTTGTTATTCAGTCAACAAACATCCACATATAGACTGATACTTTGTTATTCAGTCAACAAACAACCATATATAAACGGATACTATGATATTCAGTCCACAAACATCCATATATAGAAAGATACTTTGATATTCCGTCAAGAAACACACATGCATAGACGGATACTTTGATATTCAGTCCACAAACATCCATATCTAGACGGATACTTTGATATTAAGTCCACAAAAACCCATATATAGACAGATACTTTGATATTCAGTCCACAAACAACCATATATAAACGGATACTATGATATTCAGTCCACAAACATCCATATGTAGATAGATACTTTGATATTCAGTCCACAAACACCCATATCTAAGCGAATACTTTGATATTCCGTCCACAAACATCCATATCTAGATGGATACTTTGATATTCAGTCCACAAACACCCATATATAGACGGATACTTTGATATTCCGTCAAGAAACACACATACATAGACGGATACTTTGATATTCAGTCCACAAACACCCATATATAAACGGATACTATGATATTCAGTCCACCAACACCCATATATAGAAAGATACTTTGATATTCAGTCCACCAACACCCATATATAGACCGATACCTTTTATTTTCAATGCTCATATACAATCAATATGATTAAAATCTTCGTACTACGCCTGAACATCTGAGTGTGTCGCGGTCAGTTCAAAAGTAAACTGTGAACCTACCCTACGTATAATCATTTTATAGAAAATTGTTACGCAAGGTTTTGGTGATTTGAGAATGTTATATATATATAAACAAGTAAGTAATAGCGTCAGTGCAGACAAAGTAATATGTTAAAGGGCTATTTAGTCAAATGACAACTAGAAAATCGAGTCGATATTGAATATATATATATCCTAACCACGGACTTAGATCTAATTCCGTGTCCTAACGAAAGTTTGCGTAGTTGATAATGACATGACCTGAAGCCAACGTCCAGTGTAGTAAGTTTCATCTTTTGGGAAAGCCTGTAATAAAAAAAAACGGTTCTTAATGTCATACAGGGAAGGAGAAGAATACTTATCATGTATGCCCGGATTGCCGTACTCATTTTGAACCCCCTGGCTGCTGCTGCTGCTGCTGCTGCTGCTGCTGCTGTTGATGACGGGCCCCGCCCTGTCTGTATTTCCCACAGTCCCTCCGCTAAAGCCCGAATCCACCACATGAAAAGCACTGGTCTGCAGGGCACGTTGACTCCGTAGGACCCCCGAAAAGGTGCTGAACTCGAGGCTGCTGGTACGGAACCGTTACGTGCACCGGAATTGCTACCAAGATTGAAAGCAGCAGTAGAATTCCGCTTCCGAGATTCATTCTTCTGTTTGATACTCCTGAGGGCCCTGTTCTCTGCCTGACGGATCCTTTTCTCATCCTCATTGTCAGACGCCAAATCGTCCGAAATATATTCTTTTACAGTCTGCCACCCAGCTGGTGACTTATCCGCCAAGCGGATCAATTTATTACGTTTGTATATTTTACGTTTCAGGTCTGCCGCCAACTCGCCACACCCGTCCAAATCACGATTATCTAATTTACGTTGGAGCCTGCCAACGTCCGTCTCCAGTTCCTCATTAAACTGAAACTGTACTTTGTTTCCTGGTGACTTGAATTCAATAGTCTTGTCTGACTTGGCCTTCATTTGCTCAGTGTCCCCGACGAAAATTTCTGCCTTCAGACTGTCTAACTTACTGTCCAGGTACGTCCTGAACAGCGAAAACGCCCAATAGCGTCACCCCAGCAGTACTGGTACCGACCCGCACCAGAATTGACCGTATGGGGTCCTCTTCTCTATCACTCATACTCAAACAACAAAAATCTTTCTTCACAAGCGTATACACTGGCTGCCACAGCTTGAATGACATTACACCTGTACACCTTGTACAGCTCACCTGAAACCTCAGGTAAATCACGCACTACCCGTGGTACACGAGCCTCTCAGGGCACTCTGTGTATTACCATACTACGCCCCGCCCCTTTACACACGACCACACACACACACATATGTGTGTCGCAACAACCATCAGTGATATCTCGTAACATTGATAAATATAATTATTGTAAACGTGGAAATAATCGCAGTGATGAATTTGTCGCGTGTTTGCGTCATAAAAAAAAATAAGCGCGAAAATATCCACATGCGAATATTTGTTTAAAGATTATATGAGTTACTGATATTCAGAACCATTACCACCGAGAACATTTCTGCAGGTCGATCAGTTTAAAGTATCACACTAGAAACATTTCCACACGCGAAAATTGCATCTTTTACAGTATCAAAAGCCAGGTTCAAATTATATTTGGAACTGAAAGACTCAGATTTTCCCAGTATTTTTAACACTTTCATAACATGTGGCTTCACCTCTTGTTAAATGAGATTCATTTAGTCCTACACAACCCCCTTGTTCTCCTCTATCCTGTACACTTTGATTTTTTCATGTCGGTATATGTTACCAGTTTGGTTTATTTACAAAGTAAATTAATTGCAAAACTGTGTAATCTTCCAAACACGTAGACGCTTCTTCATTAGCATATATTGGAGTTTATACGTAAGTATAAGTACCACCAGGTGTAGCCCTTATCACCTAATCCGAAACTTTTTATCATGATAGTCCTTGACCAGTCATTGCTAGATAAATTTTCGTTCACCTCTAAACATATAACACTTTTCAATGCATCTTACGAACTGAAGTGTTGAAGCAATTTTAATGCGCACAATACGTCTACAGTACGAAATATTTGTCATCATGTACCTGTCTGTGAAGTGGGTTGTTTTGCATGTATACGCACCACATCCGTTTAACTTCTTCTTTAACACTTTTGAAGTTCCTTATGTTTTATTTTAGGCAGAATGTCATTATATTTTTACTCTTGAAATATATATTTTCTGAGATTTAAAGTGTAATTGCTTAATAATTGTATTGTTCTATAGTATCAGTATGTGATAAAAAAAAATACCATATGACCTCTAAATATATAGAAAATGGTGAACAGTAATAACTGTTTATGTGTGTGAAGCAATAAGGAAGCTTAAGGACGTGTCTCCGTGTTTGCAATGAATGCGTGTATGTGTGCTGAAGGCAGGGTATGTTTGTGTATATAAGATGCCGAAGGCACCCAGCACAATATTCCACCCGGATATATTAGACTGACAACTGTTGCCATTATCCTAAATGCTGAACGTTTAGCAGGGAATAACAACTACCGTTTTTAGGACAAAATGTACCACCAACAGAAGATTATTTTATACTTTTTTTTCTTTTTTCAGGTTGTGGTAAATTGACGTATAGTTTTCGATGTAGAAGTAAGTATTTCTGCATAAAACTATCCCTTTTATAAGTTTTGTTAAATGTTATTAAAATGTAGCTTTAATTTCTAGGATGTCTCTGATGAAAGGGCATTCTGACTTAAATCTAAAAAAAATACCTCTATGATGTTTTATCACTTGTTAATTTAAGCTTTTGTAATTTTATCATCAACTGAATAACTACGATTCATTTTAATCTTAAACTTTACTGTAAAACACGAAATGTTCGTGGGTACTTTCCTTCGTGGTTTTTAAGCCTTTAAGATAGTTTCGTGGTACAAACTTTCGTGGATAGCCTATGTTAACAAACAGTAGACACGTATATCATTCAAATTCGTTGTATTTATTTTCGTGTTTCAATGTACACAACGAACATTTCATGTTATACAGTATGTAGTTCAATCACTTAAGGAATGTACAACCGCTGTAATGCAATTAATTGCAATTGTAATTGTAAAGTATTTGTTGAATGAATTAAAAATTGAAAACTAAACATTCCTTGTTCTTACCTCCATTTATTACTGAAACGTTCGTTCCATCCGTGTGAAGGCATCTAGTTAGATCCGAAATCAAATGAAACATTTCACATGTGTCGTATGAATTTACACAAAACTCTTCACATATCTATACAAATAATCACCAATTTTGTCGATAAACACAGATTGGTATGCATACTGACCTGGAAATGTAAGAATTTGGTCAATATTAATCCAAATGTATCGTATAAACTTTGGTAACAGGACGTAAACGAGCAATCCAAAATGAAAATGTATTTCCATTCAAATCAATTTCCAATCCAAAAATAAATTACCTTCCTTGATTTTTCAGCATCTGGCTAATTCAAAGCATTCTTACCATTCTACCCCTTTTGGTTTGAGGAAAGAGTAGGTATAGTGTATGAAACTGCATATGTTAAGAATTAAAAAACATGCTATTTTTATTCATATTTCTATGAAATTTATTTGTTTAGAATTATATTCACCAAGACGCACTTCAGCCATTCATTCATCTCTCATTCCACTAAACTCTTCAATCATACATGTCATATTTGTATTTTGTAGAAAATAAGCCATGGACTTGGAAACAATATGTCAACTTTTTCAACCCTACAGCAAACAAAATTGCAACTTTATCGGCATCTACATTTCACCGGGATTATATACAGAGTACCGAAATAATCACAGGTAAACCTTACAACCAAGAGGACGATAAATTATTTTTTATTATTTTAATTTTTTCTCAGCAAAGACTAGAAATGGAGGCTGCCTGGGTTGAGAGGTCATGGGTTCATCTCCGAAAAGGAATTTAATTTATGATCTTTTCTTAATAACACAATCAAAAAAGGCATAATGATATCAAGTCTACCAGTATCCCAAATTCCTGATACATCTCGACTGGCATACCAAGTCTTTTTTACTCTAACTGCTTTATTTTGTCCTATGAATACCATATACATGAGGACACACAGTGTGGCATCATGGTTTTGATTGAATATGAAACTAAAGACTACTTTTAATGATTTGTTTCTTGATCAATTTTGTCTATATTCCAAACAAACAATAAAAATCTATCAAACAAAGGTGTGATTCAGTAGGGCTGTTCGTAGTTATATCAAGTTAGCAACTTTCCTTCATGACATATTATAATAGCATCAAACTCATTTTAACATAGATATGATATAGACATAGCTTACAAAGTACCAAAATCGCCACAGGTATGCGTTACAACAACGAGGGTGATCCAAGGACTCGCACAACTAAATAATTAACTACTTGTTATTTTGCATTCAAACTTGACATGACAAAAGAATCTGTACAATTTTTCCTCTGTCGGACCAAGGAAGAGTAAGAGCCTTCTAAAGTTATATGAAATTTGTTTATATTTGAAGTTCAACGCTGCTAGTGACAAATGGCTAGATTTATGAATTCATACCTCAAAACGGCTGCTAAATTCGTTTTTGACAGGTTGAATGGCATATAAAAGTGTCACAGCCTTTTATTGTTGAAAAACGGAAGTTTACAACCCAAACCGGTGAAGTTGGAAGGAAACACCATCTGACTTGTTGTCCCTTTATAATTCCGCCATCAGACATCGAACACTGAAATTCCACCTTTGTTCCAAAGTTGATTACCTGTAGATTTCTTTTGATAAGACGTCTGACAACAATTACACAGTTAAATTACTCAGTCACTGTTTTTAAGCGGAATAAATTTTAGGTAAGGATTGCAATCGTATGATGAAACATTTGCTGATTGTCTTTAATTGCTCGAGTCCTAGAGCAACCACTTAACTATGGATATTAATTGATCATTTGATCGTCATATCGTTATTGAAAATCTGATGAAAAGGGCGATGATAATATCATTGTGATTATATAATATTTTATAAACTTTATATGTTTAGCTCACCTGGCCCAAATGGCCAAGTGAGCTTATGCCATGGTGCAGCGTCCGTCGTCCGGCGTCAATATTTTACTTTAAACAACTTCTTCTTAATAATCAAAAGGCATACGATGATACTATTTGGCCAGTAGCATGCTGTGATGAAGGGCTTCCAAGTTTGTTCGAATGAATGACCTTGACTTATATTCAAGGTCACAGGGGTCAAATATGTTTAAAACCTTTATACAACTTCTTCTTAATAACCAAGAGGCTTAGGATAATGATATTTGGCCAGTAGCATGCTGGGCTGTAGTTATACCAAGTTTGTTAAAATGAATGACCTTGACTTATATTAAGGGTCACAGGGGTCAAATATGTTAAAAACCTTTTAACAACTTCTTCTGAATAACTAAGAGGCCTAGGGTTAAGGTATTTGGTCATTAGCATGCTGGGATAAAGGGCTACCTAGTTTGTTCAAATGAATGACCTTGACTTATATTCAAGGTCACAGGGGTCAAATATATTAAAAACCTTTTAACAACTTCTTTTGAATAACTAAGAGGCATAGGGTTGCGATATTTGGCCAGTAGCATGCTGTAATTAAGGGCTACCAAGTTTGTTCAAATGAATGACCTTCGTCCTTTTTCAAGGTCACATGGGTCAATTGTCTTAAAATATATTTATTCAACTTCTTCTAAATAACTAAGAGGCATAGGGTTACGATATTTGGCCAGTAGCATGCTCTGATTAAGGGCTACCAAGTTTGTTCAAATGAATGACCTTCGTCCATTTTTAAGGTCACAGGGGTCAATTGTCTTAAAATATCTTTATACAACTTCTTCTGAATAACTAAGGGGCCTAGGCTAATGATATTTGGCCAGTAACATGCTAGTATGAAGGGCTACCAAGTTTGTTCAAATGAATGACCTTTACTTATATTCAAGGTCACAGGGGTCAATTGTCTTAACAAATCTTTAAACAACTTCTTCTGATTAACTAAGAAGCCTAGGATAATGATATTTGGCCAGTAACATGCCAGGATGAAGGGCTACCAAGTTTGTTCAAATGAATGACCTTTACTTATATTCAAGGTCACAGGGGTCAATTGTCTTAACAAATCTTTAAACAACTTCTTCTGATTAACTAAGAAGCCTAGGATAATGATATTTGGCCAGTAACATGCCAGGATGAAGGGCTACCAAGTTTGTTCAAATGAATGACCTTTACTTATATTCAAGGTCACAGGGGTCAATTGTCTTAACAAATCTTTAAACAACTTCTTCTGATTAACTAAGAAGCCTAGGATAATGATATTTGGCCAGTAACATGCCAGGATGAAGGGCTACCAAGTTTGTTCAAATGAATGACCTTTACTTATTGTCAAGGTCACAGGGGTTAAATATGTTAAAAACCTTTAAACAACTTCTTCTCAATAACCGAAAGTCTTAGGATGATGATATTTGGCCAGTAGCATGCTGGGATAAAGGGCAACCAAGTTTATTCAAATGAATGATCTTTACTTATATTCAAGGTCACTGGGGTCAAATATGTTTAAAACTTTTATACAACTTCTTCTGAATAACCAAGAGGCCTAGGATAATGATATTTGGCCAGTAGCATGCTGGGATAAAGGGCTATCAAGTTTGTTCAAATGAATGACCTTTACATATATTCAAGGTCACAGGGGCCAAATATGTTTAAAACCTTTAAACGACTTCTTCTAAATTAGCCAAAGGCCAAGGGTGATGATATTTGGTCATTAACAGGCTGGGATGAAGGGCTACCAATTTTGTCAAAATGAATGACCTTCGCCCATATTCAAGGTCACAGTGGTCAATATATGTTTAAATCTTTAAATGACTTGTTCTTTATAACCAATAGGTCCAGGGTTATGATATTTTGCCAGAAGCATGCTGGGTTGGAATACTTTAAACTCTGTTCAACCTAATGTCCTTGTTCGACATTCAAGGTCACAGGCGTCATATGTTTAAATCTTTTAATAGGTTCTTATGAATCAAACACTGATATTCTGCCTGTAGCTGTATTTTAGTCGACTTTTAAGATTACAAGTGTGAGATTAATACCAGGTGAGCGATTCAGGCCCATTGGGCCTCTTGTATATGTAATATTTTCAATATTTTATATTGTATATATAACATTTTTTATAAATCTAGGAGAGGCTTCTCCCTCTAATTTGTGGGACAATCGGTGGTGGTGGAATTATGAAGTGAATCAGTACGATACCGAACCTCCGGCTCTGACAAACGCCCACTACCTACGTCACTTCCTGCCAGATCTAAAGATGATCATTATTCTACGTAATCCTGTAGCTAGGTAACCAATCAACCGTTACATGGATCTCAAAATCACCCTTGTGGACATTTACACAAAACAAAATTTCCCCAATCAAACAAACATTCTTATATTTGATAACATGGGAGAAAAGGTAATATTGATTGAATGATGTTATTTTTCACAAAATACTATGTGTCTTTTTCTTTTCTTTTCAGGCTCTATTCTGACTATACTTATATAAGCACAGGAATTCTCTCGCCAGAACGTTTCCATCAAGAAGTATTAGCAGAAATAAGTGCTTTCAGGGATTGTATCCGATACCATGATATTCGTTTTTGTGTGTACCATAACTCTTTCAATGAGGCAAGTATATTTTCATTACATTTTAACCAATCTTATTCAAGGAGGCAAATCCTTCATAACACATGATTACATTTTACGAATGAAAAGCAACTTTATTGCCATGCTTGTGACAAACCATTAACTGTCAAAAATTGTATGATCGAATGCAAGGATAGTATGTAGATGTAAAAGATTGAACAATAGGCTAAGTCTATAGCGATTCTCTTAAAGTTAATAAAAATTCCTTACGGAAACTTTTAGTTTTTCTGATAATGAATATGCATTAAAGTAGTATAGAGATGACTATTATAGATTAGGAATAGCCTTATTTTTTAACATGTTCCTGTATGTATTTTATAGTCTGATGTGTCAAGTACGGCACGGCTCCATAACGGATTCTACGCATCATTCATCGAAGAATATATGAAGTGTTTTCCACGAGATCAATTTCATATTTTACGTCTGGAAGATTACTCTGAGAACAAGGTCGAGGAAATGAGGAAGATTTTTCAGTTTCTAAATCTACGTGAGTATCATAAGTAATATTTCGCATCCTCGGGCGCATCCTAGGGGAAATATTCCATATCACTTTAAATAAGTTTTATGAAACCGGTGTATCTATCATTGTCTGTCTCCTATTGCTTCTCATTTATGCCAGCAGCAACTTTTGATGAATTAATCAATAATAACTTTTTGACCGACTAGACAAAAAAGGATATTCAGTTATAACCAGCTTCCTAAATAAGCATAAAAACTAATTCGAATAACATAATGAAGTTTTGAATAAATTCATTAGATTATTTGGATGTATTGGTATTGTCGAAATACCTGTGATCAAAATCAGGAAGGAGTATTTGTTTTTACACAGATTTAAATAGCTGGTATCATCAATCAAGCAGACCTCGCTTATCTTTCCGGAACACTTGGTCTTATTCTCCTTGTTTTTGTTTCAAGCGTCCCCAAGTAAATACTGCCTGTGTCAATAATTTACCCTTGTTTTATCGAATCTGAGGTTGAATTGGGGTTTTGTTAACTTTCCGGTATTCTCTTGTTTTACTTTTTATATAATCATTTATATTTATTTTTTAGGTGACGTGGAAGTACCACATACAAAAACACGTAGAAACAAAGGGAGGAAAAACACAAGAGACATGCTACCGGAAACTAGGAATGTATTAACGAAATTCTATCAACCTTATACGGATCACCTGGCCGATCTACTGAGGGACGAGAGATTTCTCTGGCTTCAATAATTTCATATTTTTCTGAGCATCATATTGTGCTATTTCACAAATTGCAATCTAAGTGCTTAATGGATGTCAGAGTTCACGTTGTAGTGATCTTTGTATCATTGTTTGAGTGAGCGAAGGAGTGAACGAGTGAATGGCCGGCAACATGTCACGTTTTAGAGACCTTTGTTGCAAGATTCAAATATTGAGCAGTGGCCGTGTTCTAGTGAGGCGATGAGTAAATTAGTAAAACATTGAGCTAGTGAGTCGGTGAGTGAATCGACGGGATATTGAGTCACGAGAGAATGAGTGAGTGAGTGAGTGTGTGGGTAATAAACAAATAACGAAAATTAATGAAGATCAATAAAAGGGTGTGATTTATTTCATTATTTTAGCAAATATCTGGAAACCAGAGTTAATCCAACATCAAATGGTTACAAAAACTTTGACATGCCGAAGTTTTACTAAATACTTACAACTCTCGCCATAACACATTCAAATTATGCTTTCAACAACTTTTCAAAATTAAACTTATTGTTTATAAATTTATCACCAAAAAAAAAACAATGTTTTGATTTTACTGATTTCAGAACGTGTTTATTGCATTTTCAAACAAATCAGATTAATGGATTTAATTTCGTAAAAATCGCGAATGCCCCACAATTTATTAATGGAGATACCTCGCAAATGATTTGCACATTTGGTAAGAAAGTGTAACGCCAAACAAATGTATCACATTGTTAAGTAATCGATGTTCTCAATCTGTTCGCATGGAATATATATTCAGTCACAAGAAGTGGCAAGCATAAATGATATCAATCAATACATTTAGAAAAAAAATGTTCATTTACAGGTGATTCGGTAAATTAACAGCTCAGAAATTCTTTTAATACGAAAACAAAATCAAACTACCTTTTGTTAAAAAGCGAAAATAAGCAACTTTACTGAGTAGTTACTAAAGCTTGATATGAGTTTGGTTCATCTGGAGAACGTAACAATACTTACTACGTAATTTTTCAGAGCCTCTGTTTAGACAACCCAATATTCTCCTAATGGTAGGAGATTTATCTATCACACACTCAAGGTAGAGGAAGATTCTATTAATCTCCCTCGGTCATATCTGTAAAATGATAATAATTTCTCTCCCATCCTCAAAATGCAATGTTTAAAAACAATAGTTTACAGCTTTTGTAATATGTTTTGTTATCCTGGCTTGAACATGACCTCTCCCGTCGAGAGCATTGTTCTTTTTACGAGCTATCTGCTATACCCTAGGGGTTGACAGAGAAATCTTGTGAAAGATGGGAGATAAATTGAGTATTTTACATTAGCGGTGTACTTGTTAGAAACATGTTTGTGTGCATCTTGAAATATAGTTGATCAATTTGAAATATAAATATATTATAACCGATAAAACTACCCTATGTCCAGATGCCGAACAGGACGGTGCGACCGTGAAAAATAACCTCGAGTGACGTCTTACCTTTGTACTGGCTAAAGTTGTTATGTCAATACTTCCATCCCTCTCACCGGTAAATGGTCGGTCGTACAAAAACAGATGTAGGTGTATTATGCGATACTTGAGTATCGAGTGTGAAGCTAAGAAATAGGTTATAAAGATAACAGAAAATAATAACTCTTTTAGTGCATGAAGGGAAATGCTTTTCATACTAAAAGGATAAAATGTTTTTTTTGTCACCAGAAATTATCAAAATTTAGGAAAGAAAAAAGTATTTGAACGTGAAACATGAAGGCTTATGGAACTTTGACCCACTGCACTGTGGTTTTCTGTATATACAGTGGCCTGTCCTTTATTTCGTTTTGGATATAACTGAAGCACATTAGGGGCTGGGCTCACCACCGTTGACTATGTAGCTCAGTCGGTTAGAGAAGTAGTATAACAATCTGAGGTCCTGGATTAGAATCCCAGTTTAGTCCGGCTAAAACTTTACACTGTCATTGAGAAATCTATATTGTTTCTTCATAAAAGTCTCACAGTGTACGGTTTTCTTTTAAGAAATGATTTATCAAATCTTTACTCAAGCCAGAAAAAACATTTTCCGGTACATAGTTACAGTTTTTGGCAGTGTTGCGTGGCACCTTAACATCATTTAAAGAATCTGTATGCTATCACCGGTCTAACTGACATGAAAAAAATGTATCCCTTTGTAATTTAAATACTAAATAACAAGAAATATTCGTGTGCACTGTCTTTCGTGGTTTGGAGCTTTCAAAATATTTCTTGGGTACAAACTTTCATGATTAGCCCGTACGAAATGTATCAATTTTCGTTGTTAGCCACTACAACGAAATGTATCAATTTTCGTTGTTAGCCATTACAACGAAATGTATCAATTTTCGTTGTTAGCCACGTACAACGAAATGTATCCACCTTTCCGAGAGTCATCGGTCCAACACCGTAACACATTTGCGGTATGTTTTAAAATGACACTCATCGTACTTCTCTGTTCATTTCAAACAATTAAAATAATTATCACGCAGGTAAAGTGAATATAACTGAGCTAGGTGGGTTGACATCATTCTAAGAAAACACTGACCTGTTCTCGCGACGCCCTTTAGGCCTACCGTTTCACTTGATTGGTCACATATTTAATTAATCAATAATAAATGCTATTTATACAGCAGATTGATAACACATGTCTATTTCAGTAAAAACATTCCTATATTTTAAATGAATTGTTCAAGAATCTTAAAATATTCGTTTGTGAATCGCTGTGTATATTGCACATGTAAATGTGAAATCGGTATATAAACTAGAATAGGAACACGGTCTGATAGAATCCGAATTATGTCGCGAAAATGCGTACATTTTAAAACTACAATTAGTTCATATAATTTTCACATTCTCGTGTATATATTCCTTCGAGTAGTAGAAATATTCGTGGTTCCGTAGCAAGCACGAAATGAACGAAAGATTCTACACAAGGAATATTTCATGTTATGCAGTAATCCTATTGAAGGATAATACAAAAGACTGGGTGTTAACACGTATTGACAGTTTAAAACAAAATTAGTATCAATATCTAAGTATTTACCAATACATCACCCCCAAAAAATCGTCAAAAGGAAGATTTAATCCCTAAATTATGTCTAGTGCAACATTATCATATACATAAACTTACATGTACGTATCAGAAGGTGCTCATCACATTCTCCCAGCAATCTATATACAATATTTATCTAAATAAAACCTAGCGAAGCAACTCTCTTCTTTATTGCTAAATATATATATATATATATCCCCAGGTTGAAAATATCTTCATTTTCAGTTGTAAGCAATTGAATATGTAACAAATAAGAAAAATGTATATACAATGTATATAGAAAGCAGTATGTGTCGATAATGTTTCTAAATCAAACCTAGCGAAGCATCTCTCTTTTTCCTATCTATATATATATATATATATATATATTTCCTCAGATTAAAAACATCTTTATTTTCACTTGTTAGTAAGTAAACTAGTTAGAAATAACCTACAATCTTTAAACGGAAAACAAACTCAACAAAGTAGCTGTCTTTGTGCATTGCCAAATAAATTCCAGTAATTCCAGTTTACAAACAAGTTCTGCTGCCGTTTTGATTTGTTTATGTCTTATCCACTTTACTGTGCAAATAAGTTGTTTGAGCATACCATGTCTTGTAGTAAATTATCATTTTAATGGAGAGTTACGTAGTGTTTTGAAAAATAATACACAGAAATATGAAATAAAGAATCATAGATTTTAAAAAAAAGTTAAATCGATGCAGAAGGTCAAACAAAGTAAATAAATAACTGTTTCTGACTGTCAGGCTATTTCGTCCATTTATGGTGTTTAAGAATAATAATGGAACTCACCTTCCACTATACTAGTTTACACATATGTTTACTAGTACTTGGAAACTATAGAATGTTTAAAATATTGGTTCGGGATTAGTCTGTCAGTAATTTTACATCTCTGTTGCCATGTTGAATTCCTGTGTCTTCTTCACTACTTTGCAAAACTGAAGAACCAACACCGCTACGAACGTATAAATATCAGCATCGTAACTAAAATTTAAAATAGATTTCCGTATTACTTTTCCGTCAATGTTTAACATGTTACCTGTAAAATCACATTGATTTGTCATTTTGCGTTAACACACAAGAAAGTAATCACTTGATATTTCAATTTCTGTCCTCATGGACAACCACATTATCCTCAAGGGGTATATAATTTCTTTTTCTCTTTGCAATGAAATAATATATTATTCCAAGTAAAAGACCAGTGCTGATTGCAGCAAGAGAGAGAACTAACGACAACCGTGTTCCTTCCTTCGCATTGTCTTTGGATGGATTGTATGGTAATTTAACTTTACAATCCCACTCTTTAAAATGTTTAATCTCAGAACTTCTGGTTGGGTTTCTCATCCAGTCAAGCACCTGTTTTGCAGTGACAAT